CTGGGATTTGTAGTCCTCTCGCTGATATTATTCTGCATTATTGTATAATGTATTGCTGGGATTTGTAGTCCTCTCTAGCTGATGATGATTATATTCTGCATTGTTGTATAATGTATTGCTGGGATTTGTAGTCCTCCATCGCTGGTGGTATTCTGGACTGTTGTATAATGTATTGATGGGATTTGTAGTTTTAGTTCCTCTACAGCTTGCAATGTTCTTGAAATATTACCATTCTGCACAACTTGCCCAGTTAACGCTATATCATGCGACATGGTTAGTGCTGCTGTGGGTAAGCCAATACGCTGTAGATTGTGATCCGGTAGAATTGACTGATGATGGCTGCCATCAGATATGGCTCTTGACTAAATCCTGCTCCTTAATATAGCACCCATGGAAACCAATGTCAAAGTACACTCGCTAAACTAGAATGGAGAAATATGTACCGGATTACCCATCGATTTGTTTAAGTTGGATGCACAATGCCCCAAACCCACCTGCATATTTGGTGGATGTGCCCCTTAGTACATTCTTTCTGGATGGATGTGTACCAAATTTAATTTCAACTGTTGGGCTTTATTGTAGTCCCAGATCCCATCCATGCACTGTTTAATAGACACCCTCCTGGGGAAACTAATCACCATTTTAAACTGCAATTGCAGGTTCCTACCACAGATTAAAAAAAATAGCCTGGGCCTGGAAATCCCCTCGGATTAATGTGGTGGAAGTCAGAGTCTCGGATAAAGACCTGTTCGTGTACAGAAGATAGAGATAAGAAATAAGAACAGGTCTGACTTTTATCCAACACAGAGCAGAGGGGACAAGCTTGACACTTTTCAGAAATATGTTGAAAGGGAGTGACCCCCACTCGGTGATTCTCCATTTCTTTTCCCAGATTCTCCATTTTCTACCTCCCAGTCCCCATCCCCTCCCTCCCAGCAACCTCCTCTCCCTCCCAGCAACCTCCTCTCCCTCCCAGCAACCTCCCCTCCCTCCCAGCAACCTCCCCTCCCTCCCACCAACCTCCCCTTCCCTTGTACCTCCCCTCCTCTTACTTTCTTTCTCCCCTTTCCTATTTCTCCTCCCCTTTTTTTTTTTTTCCCCCCTTTTTTTTCTGTTTTCTTTTCCCTTCCTCCTCTCTCCCCCACTCCTCCATTCTTTCCCTTTTCGCTTCTGGATGCGCACTTCTGGGTGCGTCTAGGTGAAGCACGTCTGTATGCATTTACATGCATTTGGTTACATCTTCAAATAGTTTGCATGTGTTTCTGTGCATTTGCATGTATTTAGGAGTTGATATTGATTCCTGGATGCACCTGACTTCTGTTTTCTCTAGGCACAACTAAACTGACCACAGATAGATGCATCTAAATGCAAGATGTAAATCTATTCATTGGAAACCATTGGATACACATATATGCATTTAGAAAACCAATTTGAAGCGCACATAGATGCATCTATTCGTACCTAGTGGGAATATAGTCTTGTATATCCTGATCCTCAGTTTCTTTTATCTATGTTTTTAGAAGTTATGGATTGTTTCTTATATTGGCTTTTATATAAATTTGATTATCTGCTTGTCATTTTGTATCACACTAGCTGGCTTGACATTCTCACTATTTAGTATTCTTGTGATCTATATTCTGCTGTACCCTTGTGTATTATTGCGTATTATTATTCTTGTGTATTATTGCCTCCGTGAATATATAATGAAATGCACCTGAATTTCCTAGTATAAATGTATCAGACTTGATCTACCCCCATATATATGACTAAGTCCAGGATTGGGTGAAACATGTTAGAGGGGGCAGACTGATGAACTTTCAATATACTGATTCAGTGTGGAGCGGAGTGCAGCCGGATTTATTTTTTACTACTGTATATAACTCCGATATATCTATTTCAATGGTGTATTTAAAGGGTTTCTAAACCCTCCGTTTTTTTTTTTTGCCTACCAAGCAGTAGATATATGCAAAAAGTAAAAGAAAAAAAACCTGCTTTAACAGCGGTTTAAACTTACCCCGTTTTCGCCGCGCGCTGCCGCCCAAGTATCCGAAACTGCTCGGGCGGCTGCAAAGCATCCTGGGGCGGGCACATGCGCAGTTTGGGTTTTCGGCCGGGAGACGAGCAGAGATGCAAGGTAAGTCTATGGACGCGTGCATCCGCATGCAGACACCGCGGGATCGAAAGTGCCAGCAAGGACAGAGGAGTCAGCGCTGGATCGGAGAGCCGCCGCAGCGCTGGAGGGACAGATGAAAACATCAGGAAAGAAGAAGAAGAATCGGATTAAGAGACATCATTTAAGGTAAGTGCTAACATTAACATTGGGGAAAGGGGAAACATTTTTTGACTTTAATGGCACTTTAACTGTTTCCCTGCAGTTCAGGTTTAGGTTGTTTTTGTTTATTGTGGGGGGTTTTTGGGGAGGGAAGCAAAAATGTAGGTGATAGCATTTCTTGTAGTTAATGGAATATATTTTGAAGTGTATGCTTTTGGAAACACTTAGGGGTCTTTTTTTTAAATATATTTTCACCCAGGATTCACACATTTTTCCAATGGAAACTGGATTTTGGGTGAAAAAAAATTATAAACAAACTCCTTAGTTTCCCTCTTCAGGCAAGGTTTCCTGTGTTACCATAAAGTAGTATTAAACTCTCAAACCTTTTTCAGTAAAGAATCCAGATCAAACAAATATACATTTCTTTAAAGATCTGTGGTTTAATTAATGAACAGACTATAAGAGGGGAGGCTGTTATAGCCACAAATGGGGAAGCAGCTCCATATCAAGGCCTATGGTTTTAGAACAGGTTGTCCAACAAGCCCATAGAGGTTTGATTGTTAGGTGTGCACAAACTTATGGCCATATAGTGTGGCTAAAGAGTGCTTGCTGATCACATTATTATAAGCTGCATCTTTCTTGGCTGTATAGGACTTAAATGCCTTTGATTCATTGACCTTTAACGAGCATGTAGCCGGTCAGAGAAGTCAGAACACCTGATTTGCACACTGCTTCCATGTCCGTGAGTCAAATTTATGTTAGTATGACTCGGAGATCACTAATGGCAGCCTACATTCTTTTCTTAGGATATGTTTCTTTGAGGGCCCGTTCACACCATAGTGTTGCGCTAAACACTTGTTACCAATCTATTAGTAAAAGCTATCGCACAGCGCATCAAGCACGCAGTTCAATGTGCTAGGTGCGTTCTCATTTATTTCATGGCACCCTAGCACACCTCCCGGTGGCCGTGCTTTGAAGCACAATGTGTGGTACTGCAATACTTCACTTTGCATTGGGGTGAAAAAAATGCATTACTCAGTATTTTGTTTCACTTGAATTACCAGAACTGTTGTATGTTTTTCCTTTTTTATTTCCCTTTTTTTTTATAAGGTTAAGCCTGATATGTAATATTTTGTTATGGTATTAATAGCATCATTCTCTCAGAGAAAATACTTTTTTTTATAAAAGGTCATTGAACTTGCTTTATGGAAAATATAAAAACAATGATTTTTGCACTGTAGGGTCCCTTTTTAGTCGACAGATAAACTGACCACATCTACCTGGCGGCATTTCAAGCCTTGCTGTCCTGGCACAATATAGTCTATTCCTGAAACCACCAGCCAGACGAGAGCATCTCCCAGAACGGATTGAATCATTTAGAAAGAACCTTCTGGATAGGCTCCAATCATCGCTCATACACACATCTAGCTAAAAAAAACTTTAAGGCGTGAAGACATGTGAATTACCCTGCCACTTTCAAGTTTTATATCACATTGGACTAATTTGCAGCCATTGGATACCCACTAAATCAGTTGATCTGTAGATCTGGTGTGCTGTTTTTGTTTTTTTAAGTGATGTAATATTTAAAAAATTGGTTGTACACATTAGTGGAATCATTTAGGGCCCAGAGCTCCATGTATATTACCTAGTATTCCTATTGCTGGTGGGTTATGAGCTACCTTTTGTTCCAGGTTGAGGAAAACATTTGGAATATGTTAATGAAAACCTAGCTATGTTTAGTAAGAACTAACCATTCCATGAACCAAATGCCCATTCAAACACCATATTGGATTCTTACTCCCAAAAAAGATGTGGTCTGGCTATATGCAAGCAAATGTGTCCTTGGTATGTTTGTAGGGAATGGCAAGCTACCAGATAAAGAAGGGCTTCCGGTAAAGCCAGTAATATAGCCATCACAATCTTTCAGACTTAGACTGGCAAGTCGGAGTACCCCTCTCCCTTGAGAGAATTAATCTCTCAAACTTATCACTGCAGGGCAATGAACCTGTCAGCCATTCAGTATATAAAGTAGTATCCTTACATATTCCAAATCAATCTTCATCCACTGTAAAAGATATAAACTGATTAATTTATACATTGATGGCTTTTATGTTTTGATATAACAGTTTTTCAGTGTTTACCACTCTTTCCTTGTAGTGCTGGTGCATTTCCCCTAGGGACATGATCTACATCAGTTAAAGCTAATCTCTGAGCAAAAGAAAACTTTATTTTTAAATATATTAGCAAACACTAGACCCCCCACTCTCCTAAAAGTATAAAACTAAAAGAGCAGCTGCATAGTAGCCACCATAAGGTTCCAGCTCTTACCTGCAACTTTTCCAGAATATGCTTTAAAGTTCCACCAGAGCCAAAAGATCCTGTGCAAATGCAGACTTTCTGGTTGCTCAGGCACCGAATGCTGTCCCATTGGTGGGGGAGTGCCTATGCTTTACATACACTGAAAGCAGGGACATTGAAGATGAATCATTTGAACTGCAGGTACGATCTGACATGGTATGGGACCTACTATACCGTTATACCTTTTTAGATTTGCACATTTTCTGGCAGTACAGGGACACTTTAAATAAATGAATAAATATGGTGATGTTATTCTTACTGCAATGGAATAACATCCTCATGTATACATTGCCACAGTGCACTTAATATAATGCTGTTAGCTCCCTTGAGGTTTTATCTAACTCTTCATCATTTATTTTTTTTCCTCTAGAACAAGTCTGCCATCACCGATGTTTTCCAGAAATGATTTTAGTATTTGGAGTATTTTAAGAAAATGCATTGGAATGGTGAGCATGTATTTATTTATTCATTTGAAACTGCCTACGCCTTGTTTTTTTTCAGGCTTACAGAAGTACATTTTCATTTCCTATAGAATATTCTGCAACTCCATTTTTATTAATGTTTAACCTTCAACCTGTACAAGCAATACCAGTTTTAAAGTGGACCTAAACTCAAAAAGTGAAGATTTGCTATGTTATAAGAACAATGTAGAAATGTTAATGGTGCCTAAGTAGTACTCTGAAAAATCTACCTTTGACTTGAATTAAAAACAAAAATAGCAGTGTACCTTCCGGTATGTGAATGTGCCTTGGTACTCCCATATCTACAGCCATATAGCTGGATAGCAGTACTCCCCGGTGTGAGATCTAAGGCACTGCTGCCTCTCACTGCTAGTCTCAAGTGATTTGGAGTGGGCTTTGGGGTTGTCACTACTATGCCCGTCACTGTTCTTCTTTCTGGAGGCTCTGACACAAGGAAACGTTCTGCCTCTACAGTGATCACAAAGCAAACATCTTTGGTCTAGATTTTGTGAGTGAGGCAGAGATGCAATCACGAGTTCTATAAGACCTGCACAGCTACAGCTGGAGTGGGCACAGAAGTTCAGCGGGAGCTGGACTTCCACCCATATGTATTGCTGATGATTTGCAGGGAGAAGGCGGCAGTTCTAATTCTGCTAGGTGGCTTTACAGCATAGTCACTCTACAAGTTACTAAACAGCAATAAATTATTGTGCCCGGAGTTGGGCTTTAATCATTACCAATGTCTGAGGTGAAGGTGTTCTTGTGGAGGCACCCTGTATAGTATTGTCAGTTTAGCTGGAAATGAGTGGTGCTTAGCCTCCATTAGGGTGGTCATACCGGGAACAATTAAAGTATTAGCTGTGACCAATTGTAGCACTACACACTATGACTGGCCTGTTTTGAAACTGTAAGCAAAACCATGATAACAAACACTTCGCAAACCTAATTTTCGGCATTACATGGCACTTCTCATTCAGAAGTAATAAGGAACCTGGCACGATAAGTGTCTTGAACCCATCTTTCTGAAATAAATTTGTAGAAAGTCCTGGTGGCACAAAAGTCCTTCAAAGATGGGCACATTTCTCATGGCCAGAGAGCAATCTGCCTGTTACTTGCTTCTCTTAATATGGCTGATATTTTCTAAAAGTGGGCTGCAGGCAAGATTTAATACATCATGTCTGCTTTAGTGTAGGACTAAGTTACTTTTCCATGCATATCTGTAAATGTAACTCTCTATTTTAGGTAAACAGGTCTGTATTTTAAAGTTGGTACTGCTTTGGTTAGTATCTGGATAGCCTATTTTTAATCTTGATATAGGTTTTGGAAGTCCATTTTTATTTTGCATATTTAATGGCTGCAAGGTTAATGCTTATGCAGGCACTGTAGTGATGAGACGGCAGTAATTATTTATATGCATGTAATCCTATTCCTGCTTTTGTGTCTGTTAGGACATGGGAGGTGCATGCCTCCATCTAAATAGATGTAACAGAGTACAGAATAATAGTTTTACTTGTTTAATAGGAAATTGTCAGTCGTATATCCTCATCTGTAGATATTATATGTCATAGATCTCATCTGTAGATATTTCACGGTTTGTGGTGCTCTATGAATGAGAGGCTTTCAAGCAACAAGCATATATTCTAAGCAAGCTAGGAAAACATTGGAATAAATGTGTATCTAATTTTGAGGGTAGAATGAATGTACTCTTGACACTAGTGGCAGTGAAATGTTTACCCATTTTTTCTAACCTTAGAAGAAGTTATTTTGTTTTATTTTAGCAACTTTTTTGGTTTATTGCTGTAAAAGGGTTTGGTAACTGCGTTATTTATTAAGAGCACACGTCCTCAAGACAGTTTAGACCAAACCATATTGTCTGTAATGTCTCTGGAAATATCTTTCTAAAGAATATAAAGGTATGATCACTGCCGACACATATTGATGCAAAATGAAGCAGATTCTTGGCTTGTGTCTGGTAAAATGCATTAGACACAAAGGAAACCCTCATCACAGGATTTTTAATAAACCAGCACAGAAGGAAATTGTACTGTAATCCACTCAACCACATTTAACTTTTTTATCAGATTATAGTAGTCAGAACAGTGTCAAATCATTGCTGACTGAATGTTATTTTTTGAAATTATGCTTTAGACATTGCTCTTTACATTACATTATTATTGAAGGCAATTTGTAACATTTTGCTTGTTACTGCTGTCTGTGTCATTGGCGAAAAACGGCACACCAAGTACTATGCCGGTTATTTTACACTGAACCACAGTAAACTCTGTGACCGCTTTACAGCTCTATGTCTAGGCCGCTGTGCGAGGATCATAGGCGTCAACCCCCCGTGACCCCCCACCATAGGCCTCTAGAGACCATGTCCCTGATAATGTAGGCCATTGTGTTGTTTGGTAAACCATTATAATTGGTAGTGCTAGGCTATTGAAACAAATATTGAGAAATGCTTTAATTTTTTGAGACATTACTGACGCCTAGTGACTTTTTATGTGGGGCCCTATAATAAATCATCTATTTCTGTAAACAGTCTATCAGTTTTTGATAGATGCTGAAGAATTAAGCAAACTTCCTTCTATCTCTCAAAAAGTTCCGTAAATATATATCTACTTCTGTTTCAATCCTACATACCTATGATGCCTATTTCGCGGAAATACTACTGTTCCTGCTGGATTTTATCTTATATGGTGGAGATTGTAACAGGGAGTTAGTAACAATTTGAGGTAAATGGGAACAGACCAAATAACTGTGACAGTAAGATCGCACTTGCACTCTGTGGAAGTGTCAGAGGATCACACAGGTCAGATGATTCCAACAAACCAGACAGAGGCTAGTGGATAACTAGGCAAGGTGCATGAGGGAGTGCAGTCAAGGTCAGATTTCCACATTCCTATACCTCACAGCTATAGTGATTTATGTGCTACTTCGAAGGTTGACACCTTATTATTTACCACATTATTCAGCTTCCAGGAGTTGGAGTTATTTTTGTAGCCCCACACAGAGCAATGCAAAGTGGAGAGTGTGGTGACTGATTTGCCATGTAGTCAATCTGTATAAAATGATTGTAAATGTTTAAATCTCAACTTCAGGCTGTTGTTCAATTTACCCATGCATTGGGGTTCCCCTGCACTGCATTGGGTAAATGTTCCTTTGTCTAGGGGAAAAGGACTAAGCCTAAATACTTACTTTACTCCTTGCCTCCGCAGGCTCACTTCTTTCCATGCAATCTGTCCTATGAAACCGCTGCATTTCACTTCGCTTTCCAGCCAGTTGCAGAACTCTGATGTCATCATGTACAATGCAGGACCTGCAGTGCTGCATTGTATAGGAGGGCAGCAAGGACCTCACCTACAACCCCAGGAGTGTCAGACAGCGTAGGATGGCTGGGGAGCAAGGAATAAGGTAAGTATTTTGTACTTTTTGATTCCTTTCTTTCCTAGACAAACAAACATTTAGCCCATGCAATGCGGGGGGGGGGGTTCACACTGCATTGGTACATTTATCAACAGCCTGGAGTGGGGATTTTACTAATCACTTGTATGCCAAAATGAAGACCATCTCAAAAACTAAAGTATATTACATTTATTGCTGTACTTAAATGTTTTGTGAGGTTGTCTTGTTTTCTTTCGTGAAACAGGTTGGCAGTTTCTGAACAAGAGATGGGTTCTCTTGGTACATAGGAGCATGAGCTAAAAAAAAAAAAAAAAAGTAGCAGGAAGGGATTGCATATAAAAAATAAATGTGCCTTAGGATTGCATATGAAAATACATGTGCAAGAAACCAGAAAAAAAAACAAAATGCTGGTGCGGAAGACTCACTTTGGCATCTTCCCTTGGGTGCTCAAGGTCCACAACTGCCAAGAGTTATGCTAGGCTTGGATCCAGACTTTAGGTTTCTTGTAGTCTAACTATCCTTGCTCTCTGCTGTAAATGGGTCAGTAGAAGAAAGGACAGACTTGGTGGTTTAGTATAGCATAAGTAGAACAAGCAGGGTATGATGGCTTTCGTTGGCTCAGCGGCTTTGCAGAGCTTTACCTTTTATTATGTATTACATGCTTGTATTTAAAAGGGCCACTAAGAAAATCACATCACAATACAAACTATATTTATATGCCTCTGTCTGTCTATGTATGTATGTATATGTGTGTGTGTGTACATATTATATATGTATGTATATATGTATGTATCAGCATGAAGTAATGTGGTATACAGCATGTCAGCATTGCATGAATGATAAGAATACATTATTGCGCAGTGTTTTAGATGAACAGTTCATAATCTTGATACATCAAATCTGTTCATGTATTACAAATGTTTGTCCAGTAATAGATAACTTCCAGTGTACAACTAATTTTAATTTGAAATAACATGTTGGTTTACAGCAGTGGTAACCAAATTGTGACCCTGCAGCAAATCCCATTAGGCATTGAAAGACAAAACTGTCCTAGTGGCTTTTCATTTTTATGTGTATAATAAAACAAGACTTCTAACAACTAACACACATGTAACAACTTTAGTAGTAACTTTGTTTGTTTTACCCCAATAGGAATTATCAAAAATCACAATGCCTGTTATATTCAATGAGCCGCTGAGCTTTCTACAACGCCTCTCTGAATACATGGAGCACACATACCTCATTCACAAAGCAAACCACTGCTCTGACCCTGTGGACCGAATGCAGGTGACTTCTAATGAATCTGTTTAATAGTATTTTTCTGTGGGTATGAAATTAGCTTTTGTACGTCTTGTCTATATCGGAAAGTAATTGGCTTGGCAAGCCTCATGGAGAAATTCATAAAACTGCGCCAAACACCATTGTAACACTGCCCCACATAAATGTTTGTTTTAAGCATTTTTTCCAATATAAAACCAGTTAACGCCAACTATGTGAAAACTGGAGCTTGTATGCATTTCATGCTGTTATATTCTTGGTGAAAAATGCTGCTGGTACCCAGCCTAAAGTGATCTTAAAGTCCAGATGTTTTTAAGCGATTTAAAATGCTGATCAAATCACTTTCAATGGATACTCCTTGATGTTTAAAAGTCTTAGCTTCCTGCAGAATCAGCTGGTCCCCTGAGCACTGGCCCTGATAATCCTGTTGTAGGGTGGCTCATTTTCCTTGCAGGGTCCTTTTGGAGACACCCTTGTGTGTGCTAGAGAGCTGTGTCCACAAACACACAGGCAAAGGTAATGCAATCTACTCCTTTTCTCCCTCCTTCCTCCAAGCATGTAAATGGACAGCTGCTGGAGAATGTGCTGTCCCTTGTAATCTTGTACTCAACTGGAAGTTCAGGGAAGCCGAGCTGAGAGAGTTGGAGCCAGCTGTTCAGAAACATGATGACTGTAAAGGTTTAAGCACAAACGTAAAGAAGTGCTGTGCTGGGCAATGTATATTTGTTTGATCTGGATTCATTATAGAAAAAAGTTGCAGCGTTTAATACTACTTTATTATTACCGTTACTATAAGTTCAAGCTTGCTCTGCATCTAATATTAGCAGTCATATTACCTGGCATCAGACATCACCTAGTATTAGTATTGAATTGTTCTACCACGTGGCTGTAACAAAGTAACATGTATGTAAGGTTGAATAAAGACCAAGGTCCATCCAGTTCAACCTTTTGTATGCGAGTGTGTATTTATCTGGCTTTACACCTTCCCATATCCCTGTAGATTCTGTGAGAGAAGAAACTCCTCCAGTAGTTTCTTGAATTTATCAATGTGATGCATTACTTTCATGTCTTTCATCTTTTTTACAGTGTGTTGCTGCCTTTGCAGTTTCGGCAGTTGCGTCACAATGGGAACGCACAGGGAAACCTTTCAATCCTCTCCTCGGGGAAACTTACGAGTTAGTACGGTAAGAGAAACTTTCACACCATCTCTTGTAACTCTGAGGCTAGTTTCACACCTGCACACCTACAATGCACGACACCCGGGACACGCGATCGCGTGGCAGTGCACACAGCAATTTCCCCGTGGCCCCATTGATCTCAATGGGGTGATATCCGGGCGGCAATCGCAAATAAAAAAATAGGGACAAGTACCTTTTTTTTTGTTGCACACGACTCGCTGCTTTTTTTGTGTTTACTTGCATGGGTGGAATCGTGGCTGGAAACCGCGCGTTCTGCCCGGCATGGCTGAGGTGCCATTAGAAAATAATGGCACCCACAGCGCGATCGGTTCACACCTTGGCGACTCCTGACCATACGGCAATCGTGCACAAAACCGTGCGGATTGCAGCGCCGTCAGCAGTCACTTAAGTGTGAACCTAGCCTGAGAGTCGGCTCTTTGTTCCCCCCAGTAACCAGTGTCGGCTCACCTTTTCAAATGTCACGTAGAAATATATATCGTGACATCTGGTTGCAATGTACTTAATAGGTTTTGTCTTTAGTAATATTACATTCTTATAGTCCTAAGTAGACTGTTTTTCTATTGTTAGACTTGTTTTTTTTTAAAAAAAGGATGAGTACATTCAAGATAAGTACTACAGTACATGTACATACTCCTGTTATGTGTACTGAGAATGTTTTGTATGATTGTGAGCTTCTGCAGTACCTGCAATGAATGTTCTACACAGCTTATGAATGAAGGAAATAGGGTCACTGGTCTATCGAGTTACATAGCACATGAAGTCTAGCAGGTATCATGATCACACAGAAGCATCACCATGCTCCTTCATTTCCTCCTAAAAGCTCCCAGCTTAATAGAACACGACTTGTTCTTCCAAGCAGAACACACAAAAAAGCCAACTATTGGCTATTCACTTTGCTTATTTATTTATAGTGTCAGCAGTTCCTTCTTAATTATTGAACTGCTCTACTGACTTTGTACAAGTCTAATTATTATCAACACAAATGTGGGGTTTTTATACACCAAGTACTGCCCATCTATCTGAAACACTCAAGTCTTCACTGGCACCAGGGCAAAACCGCAAACCCGTGCTAGCGCTATGCCAAGGCCACATATACATGTGAATGTCTTTGTATTATGATACCATTTGTCTGGTTTTTGTATTTTAGTGAGGATCTTGGCTTTAGACTCATTTCTGAACAAGTCAGCCACCACCCACCAATTAGCGCTTTCCATGCTGAAGGTCTTAACAGTGACTTTGTTTTTCATGGGTCAATTTACCCTAAACTCAAGTTCTGGGGCAAGAGTGTAGAAGCTGAACCCAAAGGAATAATGACCTTGGAACTTCCAAAGTAAGTAGATTTTTGAAGACTTTTGTTTAAAGCTGAACTGCAGGCAGATATAAAAGACACAAATGAATGCCGCTCTCTTATACATCATTGCAAAGGGTGTAAATATCTGAATTTGATCTGTTATCAGCCCTTTGCAGGTCATGTATAGCAAATCAGGAACGTGAGAAGCAGTAGCACAAGGAAACAATCAGTTCATGTGCTCACAAGAAGCATGCTGATAGGAGGAGAAAGAGTGACTGAGACATGAGCTCATCACTGTGCTGCTTCTCTTTTCACTGTCCAGTAACGGACTAAGGCAGGTCCAAAACCAGGACTCAGAGGAAGTGGGCCAAATTATGTTGGCAATCACAATGAGGACATCTAGCAGCAGAAAAAGTACTGCAGGGGAAATTTCTGTATTGAAGAGGAATATTGCAGTAGAAGTTGGTTTTATTTTATTTTCTATTGGGCTTTTTTATGTTTATTTTGTTGTTTTGCGCTGGTGGTCAAAACTGTCAATGAAAAAGTGAATTATTTCACAAATTGATCCAGGGATAAGATCTATCTGCCAGACATGCAGGACACAGAGTTGTCTTGCTTTGTTGCTGCATTCTCTGTGATATAAAATACTTTTACAAAAATATCAAAGATGGTGTAAAAATATCAAAAATTAATATCTTTTTGATGAATTATGTAAAGCCAACTCCGTCTTCAGTAAAAAAGCAGTGCTCTACAAGATTTAAGATAAAACGTGAATCTCGGGACAATAATCACCCTCTCCCCTGCTATGGGTTAAATGGCACGCAGTCTCATTCCCAGGGCTGACCTGTGTTTGATGTGCATTTTAAACTAGGGATGCACCGATACTTTTCGAGTACCAATGCAGATACTTGACATTTTCATGAGAACTACCATGCTTACAGCGGTTGCAGCTGGGACCTGGCGCTCCACCACTGTCCTGAAATCATTAGTCGATATTATTTTAGATAAACTGTCACGTGACAATAAACAAAAATGTATCAGTACTTGTAAGTACTTAGGCAAGTACCAGTACTTATACTCGCAAAACTCGGTGCATCCCTTTATTTATATTTATGTAACCAAGATCATACATTAAACAGAGATGTACAAATCCCAGGAGCTCCGTGTGCTCCTTACAAATGACAGCTGCCTCCTAACTTTTGAATTTTTCTCTAGTCTAGTCTTGGAGCTCGAAATGTATCTGTACTTGTAACAAGTACTGTACATGGTATCGGCGCATCCCTATTTTAAACGTACATCAAATGTAGGAAACAGTGCCTCTGTATAAGTTTCTGAAGTTGGTTCTCTCAGCAGCCCAGCTACCTCTCCCAGCAGTGACCTGGCAGCTATACCCCATGCAAATGCAGCCTTAGATGCGCGCTCCCCCCACTGCAACGCTGAGACGACCACCTTTGTTTTGGCCCAGTCCTGAGTGTCAGTAAAGGAACACATTCTACAGCACAATTAAGAAAAAAAAAAGAGCCGACTATACTTCAAAATAAGTTCTTAAAGTGACACTAAACTCGGGCGTTAAATCTTAAAAATGCATTTAAGTACCTTAACTATTAACAAAAATGTAGATTATTTGTGTATCACTCGGCTGTAGATCCTCAAATCATCTCTGAAGTATTAATATTATACAGGATTTATATAGCGCCAACAGTTTGCACAGCGCTTTACAATATAAGGAAGACATTACAATCACAATACAATTCAAGACAAGATGGGAAGGAGGGCCCTGCCTGTGATGGCTTACAATCTAAAAGGGAGGTGCAAGTGGGGTAGCTGTGTGGGGATGAATTGTTTGAGAACATGATGGTTGAGTGGTTAGTTTGAGGTGGGAATTGGTGCTGACATTGTCCTTCCTTATGGAGGATGGCTACTTTTTGTTCCCCATGGTTCCTGTGTATGTTCTAAAGTAGCCACTGCTCCAAACTCGCTTCTGTGATGGAATGTGGGAAGTAGATTATGAAGTGGAGCAAGGCTGAGGTTAGGACTAGGCGGTGTCAGGTAAAACAGAGTCAGCAACAGACTAGCAGTAAGTTACAAAATCAGAATCCAGGGGAGTAGTTAAGAGACAGGTTGAGGTATAAACTCGGCAGGCAGAAGGGTAGTCAGAAAACAGGCCAAAGTCTCAAAGATATTCAGCGGCAGCACACACAGGAAACACACCCAAATAAACGGGCTCAGAGAACAGGAAGTGCTCAGTATTTAAAGGCTGAGATGATGGCAGATTGACTGCAGCTAGCAAGCAAGCAGGTGGAGGTACAGATTCCAGAGGAAAAGCTGCTGAATAGAAACCGGCAGTGCAAAACTGAGTCGTCCTGGTGACTGAAAGGCAATTCTTCTGCACTTCTACCCTAGAGACCCAGGTTCAAATCCCCACAGCTACAAAACAGGTGCTGGCAGACAGGCACCTGACATACAATCAATTTAAGTACCTTAACTATTAACAAAAATGTAGATTATTTGTGTATCACTCGGCTGTAGATCCTCAAATCATCTCTGAAGTATTAATATTATACAGGATTTATATAGCGCCAACAGTTTGCACAGCGCTTTACAATATAAGGAAGACATTACAATCACAATACAATTCAAGACAAGATGGGAAGGAGGGCCCTGCCTGTGATGGCTTACAATCTAAAAGGGAGGTGCAAGTGGGGTAGCTGTGTGGGGATGAATTGTTTGAGAACATGATGGTTGAGTGGTTAGTTTGAGGTGGGAATTGGTGCTGACATTGTCCTTCCTTATGGAGGATGGCTACTTTTTGTTCCCCATGGTTCCTGTGTATGTTCTAAAGTAGCCACTGCTCCAAACTCGCTTCTGTGATGGAATGTGGGAAGTAGATTATGAAGTGGAGCAAGGCTGAGGTTAGGACTAGGCGGTGTCAGGTAAAACAGAGTCAGCAACAGACTAGCAGTAAGTTACAAAATCAGAATCCAGGGGAGTAGTTAAGAGACAGGTTGAGGTATAAACTCGGCAGGCAGAAGGGTAGTCAGAAAACAGGCCAAAGTCTCAAAGATATTCAGCGGCAGCACACACAGGAAACACACCCAAATAAACGGGCTCAGAGAACAGGAAGTGCTCAGTATTTAAAGGCTGAGATGATGGCAGATTGACTGCAGCTAGCAAGCAAGCAGGTGGAGGTACAGATTCCAGAGGAAAAGCTGCTGAATAGAAACCGGCAGTGCAAAACTGAGTCGTCCTGGTGACTGAAAGGCAATTCTTCTGCACTTCTACCCTAGAGACCCAGGTTCAAATCCCCACAGCTACAAAACAGGTGCTGGCAGACAGGCACCTGACATACAATCTCACGATTAGTTTTATTTTTATTGAGATTGTAGTCCATCCCAGGAACGAGCTTGGAGCGGGCGCTACTTTACAACACACACCGGGACCATAACACATGGGGAACATAAGCAGCCACCCTCCAGAAGGAAGGACAGTGTCAGCACCAATTCAGAGATGATTTGAGGATCTACAGCTGAGTGATACACAAATAAGATACATTTTTGTTAATAGGATACTTGAATGCATTTTTTATATTTTACTCCTGAGTTTAGTGTCACTTTAAGAGCTTTATTTTGAAGTATAGGCGGCTCTTCTTTTTCTACAGGTTTGTTAATAGTTAAGGTATTTGAATGCATTTTTAAGATTTAACTCCTGAATTTAGTGTCACTTCAATACTCTAATGTAGCAATAAAAGTATTTACAGTTTGCTGATTACTTTCATATGCATATCTCAAAAATACTAGTTGTGATGTTATTATATTGCTGTATTGTTTTTAAGCACCGAGGTGTTATACATTATGTACAGTTGACTTATAGTAGATATTCAGTACATTTATAGTACTTTTATCAGTGACTAGAACATATTAACAACAACAAAAAATGACATGCAGTATCAGAACAAAGAAGGAGCCGGCCAGAGACATGCTGAGAGTTGCTATGCCTTTGCCTATTAAATATTATTATTATTGTAGTCACGTTTCCTTTTCCCAGGCACAATGAATCCTATACCTGGACAAACCCAACTTGCTGTGTGCATAATATCATTGTTGGCAAACTGTGGATTGAACAGTATGGTAATATGGAAATCACTAATCACAAGTAAGTAGTTGGGACCATTTTTCCCCCACCTTCCAATCCTTAAGAAGAATAAAGATTAATCCAGCAATTTGTTTACAGAACCGGTGAGAAGTGTATTTTGAATTTTAAACCATGCGGTCTATTTGGGAAAGAATTGCACAAAGTGGAAGGATACATCCAAGATAAAAGGTATGTTTACAGGTTCTTTTATTTCTAGTAATACAGATGCATTTGTTTTTCTTTTTATCCAGTATATACTTACCACTTGCAGTGAACAGGTGGCCCCTGCTGTCTGCAGGCTCACTCTGTTGTGCTAATACTAGAACTGAATGATACCAAAGAGGAACATGGCCCCTAACTGCATTGATGGCAACAGCTTACATTGAACCTGCTGCCATGCTATTGACTGTCAAGTATTTACATCTTTTTAGCAAGCATTACATTGGCTTTAACACAAACCCCACTGACTTCTGTAGCTACAGGAACTGTGGAGCCATTCTTCCCCAAAGTTCAAATCAGGAGCGTAAGGGGAGGGAGAGTAAGGGGAACTGTGCTGATGAGAGAACCAACTTGGAGACATCAAGTGCAGGTTTGCAAATTGCCATTGACCTTAATGGAGCATCATGAGAGTTCAGAGGCTGCATTTGAGCTTCTTTTCATTGTGCTACGTTTCTCCAACACATCTTCTTTTGAGATGTTCTGAAAGTGCAGGCAATGCAGGTCAAACATTGTGTGTTTAAATAGAAATGGCTGCATTTAACAAGGATTTAACCAGTTGGTGGAAGCACTTACTGCGCTTTGAAGATATACTGCTCTAAACTGCCTGCAGCTACATAGGTCAGTGGGGACTTATTTAAAAGCTCACTTACTGCTTGTTAGGAATATGTAAATACTTGAATGCCCAAAGCCTGGCTCCAGTTATCCGGGGAAAATAACATTTTTATTACCTCTATGATATTACTTGTTTGCTGAGGATGAAAAGCTCACTGCCGTTTCCTGTCAACCATTTAAGCTCAGTACAAAATCAAGACCATAACGAATTGCTATGCAACGCCAAAATGGGTTGAGCGAGTGTTCATGATTAAACATATGTTTAGATACAGATTTGTGGACAGGTTCTCTCCACTCTTTGTCCTGTAGAGTGTCCTTGCTTCTGACTGATATGTATATTTAGCTCTTGTGGTTTTCATTCTTTATGCAGTAAAAAGAAGCTGTGCTCTCTCTATGGAAAGTGGACAGAGTGTTTCTGTTGTATTAATCCGGCTGCATTTGACGCGTTTAAAAAAACCAACAAGAAAAATTGTGAAGAAAAGAAGAATTTGAGCAAGGTAACCACTACAATCTCCATATAATGAGCATTTTAACGATGCTGATATCCACATGATAATTCCGCAATCATCTCATATCTCTAAAAATGTTCTGCATTGTGTGCCTTCCATTTTCTATCTGAAGTAGATATGTAAAATACATATAGCTGTATCAGTATTCTCCAAATAAGAGAAGTAAAGCCAAATCTTAATTTTTTATTTCTCTTTTGGGTCACAGGAGTGAATTTACTAATGTCTTCCTGTGACCCAAACTCAGCAGATAGCAGGCTAATGTCCACTATCTGCTGACTGTGTGTAGCCACGCTGCAGCTGGGTAGAATCCTGACAGTAGTGTCAGGATCCACGGCTGCCTGATTGACAACTGGCTCTGCCTCTCTAGTGCCAGAGTTTAGAGCCCTGTCTGTCCCTCCGATGAGCTCTGGAGGAAAAGAGGGAAGGAGGGAATCCCTGTAGGGATCGGGGACCAACGGTCGCCACTCTTTTGCAGGGAGAAGATCAGTGGTTACATGACTGCTCAGCTTTGTTTTAGAGCAGGCGTGTGGGAACTGCAGTAATCACCCTGGCTGTAAGCAGTGGGGGGAGTATATTTTACTCTCCCGGCACCTCTCTTTTAACCCCTTCATGACTGAGCCAGTTTTCAGTTTCTCTTCATAAATGACTGACACACTTTTACATTTTTGCTGTGTGATACTTCCACAGCAGTAATATACTTTCTTACTAAATGTACCCACACATATTATATATTGTTTTTTAGAGGACAGATAGAGCTATATAATTATATCAAACATGTGTACCTAACGCCTCACTTAGTTTGAAGAAAATATATAAAAATGAGGAACAAAACTAGAAGAAAACACTTTTTTCTCGTTTTGATTATTATTTTTTTTAGAATTTTTTAAAATAATTATAGTATAAAAAAATATATTTATATATAATTTTTGTTTTCCTAATTTTGTTTTACGCTTTATTTTTTTTACACTTTGTAAAAAAAAAAAAGGGGTTAATGCACCATAGGCACATGTTTTAAGAAGATCAGCAGTGCAAACATAATTTTAGGTTTAATATACTTGTTTTTTTCCCTCTGTGACCTTCAGTAGGACCCGTACTGAAGTTCTCAGAGGGTATTTAAAGATTTGCAATTAAAGGAGAACTATGGGGTTAGGGCTTTTCCCCATAGTTCTCCTTCGGGTAACGGGTGGACACAAACTAGCGTCCTCCCGTCACCCTAAGCTCAGTATACCGCAAGCTACAGCTCGCGGTATACTGAGACGCCGCAGTATACCGGGAGCTACAGCTCGCGGTATACGGAGACGCCGCAGCTGAAGCGGATCCCGACAATTATGTCTGGATCTGCCCAGCTGCGTGAGTGACAGCTGGCTCTGCCTATCTAGAGGCAGAGCCAGCTGTACCCGCCCCCTCCCCTGTCTGTTCCGCCAGTCAGTGCTGGAGGATCAGAGCGGGGAGGGGGGAATCCAGTCCCTCCCCTGTCACGCAGAGAGCCGTGACAGGATTGAGAGGTGAGCGAACGCCGGTGTGTGTTCTCCCACTTCCTGATCTACTGAGCCGACCTGTGACACCTCATAGTTCTAGCCGACCTGTGACAATGAGACTGAGTGAAAAGCACTCACCTCATAGTTCTCCTTTAACTGCATAAAAGGAAGTTGAAGGTCAATCTGTTGGATTGTGTAAAATAGCTACTCGTGTTTTTATAGGAAAACTTCAGAGAATTGTAAAGTTGTTGGGGACTGTGAATGTCAATGCACTTAGGAGAAATATAGCCATTCCATAAAGCATGCCATTTGCTTGCATTTCTGTTTTTAAACTGTAATTCTGTAGCTCTGTAGTTTTACATAACCTGGAAAGAGATTGCATCTATCATTTCTATGTTCATCAGATTCTGTGGTTTAGATAAATAAAACTCTCGTTCCTGGTTTTCATGGGACCAGAATCCACTGTCGCAAAATATACCATGCTACATTGGAGCTCTTTGTGGCTCTGAGAGTCCCTTCCTAACTAGAGGACCAGACTTTAGCCTGCAAAGCAATGTAAACAATTGCAGGACATGCTGATCTTTCCCTGAAATCTCTTCTTTGTACAGAATCTGTTCAATAGCTCATGCTTACTTATGTTCATGTATGTGCAATTGAATAAACACAGTCCACGTTAGTTGATGCTTCCCTTCCTTCTCATCTATATCTTCTAGTCGGGAAGCACAGAGGAGCCTGATGAAATGCCACTACCTGATTCTGAGAGTGTACAGGTTATTCCAGGGAGCACAGTGCTGTGGCGAATAGCACCTCGACCCTCCAACTCTGTGCAGGTTAGACTACCATCCATGTGCTTCCTTTTGTATTCCATAAACTTTGTAACATATAGTATAACATGTGCATATGAGCAGCTACTACAGCATAGTATCTCACAGTTTTTAGTTGCGTATACATTAGTAGATGTTTTTTGTTCAGCTTTCGTGCTGAATGGAAAACATATCTAGCAGATTATCCCAACTGCTCTAAGCAGCATGGATGGAAGAATCTCCCGCTGCAGCTATTGTATTTTGACCTGTTGGCTGTCAAAATACCTGAACAGTGAGTGCATCTGATTGGATTTCTGTTAAGCCAACAATATTCAGCCCAGCTCCATTGGTTTTTCAGTTGAAGGATTTCAGGTGGGAGGAAGCAGACGGGGCCACCCATTGAGACAATTTTGGCGGGTTCATCAAGAACCAGGCAAACTTCACTCATTATGTAGCCAGCTTTATTCTGAAATACTATTTTATAGAGAATTCAATGGAAAAAAACAAAACTTTACTTGATAGGGCAGAATAATTTAAAGGGCCAGCTCAACCTAAAACTGATATTTCAGTTTGTGATAGATGTTGGAGATTTAATCCAGATTATAATTTCTTATATTGCAAGTTGTCATCCATTGGTGAGCTCTGTGCCCTTGAGTTCCTGGGTCTGTACAACTGCCGTGGCTATTTAGGGAGGTTCGACTCTCCCTCCTGGAGTTTTAGATTTTATACAATGGGGAATTCTATAGGAGGTGCTGGAACAGATGTGAAAAGTAGGTGGTAGTAGTCAGAATAAGGGTACCATGACCTTGCTATTAGAGCATTTAAGACAAATGCAGAGGCTAATTCAGCCCACCAGGCTCCACATGTACCTAAATTACCCTTTTAGGAAGACTCTTTAAATTTTCAACATAAACACACCAACTTCATCTATAGGATGCATACTAACAATTCTACTTTACTGTAGTAGCATATTATTATTGTGAGTGAAAAAGTACAACTTTCTTGACATGAATAAAAAACACAGCTAAAATAACACGATCTCTAACTCCCAGGAGTGTTATCAGTGTTTCATGTCATCAGATACTGTAGAATATCCATTGTTTTCCGGCAGACCTAATCTGGTAGACAAGGATCAGATTGGAAGCAAAATCTTCATATGTAATGAACAACTATGGCTACCTCTTTGTACATGCATGAATACAATATTGACCACATGTTTTCCCAGGTGCTCTCTAAAAGAACATATATTTTTCAATAGCTGTGTGATAGTATACTGCAGGATAAGCAAGAAATTAAATATTTATATTACATGTGTTAATGTAAAATCAGTTATTTTACTGTCCGTGCTTTCAGATGTACAACTTCACTCTCTTCGCTATGGCCTTGAATGAGTTGGAAAAGGGAATGGAAAGCATCATTCCTAAGACAGACTGCAGACTACGGCCTGATATTAAGGCAATGGAAAATGGAGATATAGGTAAATGCTTGAAATAACTAAAGACCATAAGCAAAACTGGAGATCTAACAAGACTTAAAGCAAACCTGTATAGATAGAGTGTGAGATCTACAACTACTAACTTGTTTTTTTGTAAGTGTGGGCTCCAAGGCAGTAGCATTGATTCTGTCTTCCTAACTAATTTGTCACTGATCTGGACAGGCATGCAGCCAGTGAAGTCTGCCTGTGTGCTTGTGTCCAATCAGTCACAGATAGGTAGGGTCAGTGTTTTAGCCCTAGAGCCTGCAATATAAAGCCCTAGAGCCTTTAAAATAAACCTATAGAGGGACTGCTGTCCTCTTCTGAAAATGCTAGCTGCCTGCCCTGTCTCACAGCCTTTTAATATGTTTGGAATCACTGACCGGGAATTAGAATGCATATTAGAAAATCCAGAAATCAATATGTGCATACTTGTTATGGGACACAGACTCAAAGTACTAAAGCGAGAGGCAACCAAGCAACTAGCATTTTCCAAAGGTTAGCAATAGCAGCCTCCCTACCCCTCACATGAGGGGTTTACCTAAAAACCAATACAGCAACAACTCTCCCCACATATTTTTTTTATTGATGGGGGGTATTTTCTGTTAATTGTTGTAGTAATTTTCGCCCACAATAAAGATGACTTGCGGCATTATAAATAAAAACTGAATATATAAAGGGTGCTAGCAACCAAGTCCTAAAACAAATACTTAATGTAACCAGCAAAATATATATAATTGTTACAAAAATAACTTGCATACAGTACAACGGGCACGTTTTATCTCAGGGTTTGCAAAATAGCTGTTTGTCCACCAACTCAGAATTTTACGATGTAAAGTCTTAGGTAAGGTAAGACTTCCCATTCCTAGAATGCCATGCATTTGTGTAGCCAAACTTTGTACAGGTCCACAGACATTGGTGGTGCTATAAAAATGAATAATAAAACTTTTATTGTAGTGCAGGTTTGAGTTTACTTGGTGGGTGTGGGGCAGCGCATATAGTTCTCTTTTTATTCCTTTTTTATACACTCTTTCGGTTTGAATCCCAGCAAGAACACCATCTGCATGGAGTGTGAATGATCTCTGTTTGAATGTGCGAGTTTCCTCCCTCATTCCAAAGACATTCTGGTATGTCAATTCGCTCCTGTCTAAAATTGGCCCTAGTATGATATTCTACTGAGCCCGCCTAAGATGGCTGCCTCACCATGTGCTCCAACAGTCCCCAGGGAGAAAATGACTATAGAAATATACGTTAAAATAACATTAAATGATTTGTCCGTAGAATACATGCACCACTCTGCTTCAGTTTAGATAGGCAGACCTTGCGTCTGTGGGTACTAAAGTGAATTGCACGACTCGGGATCCACTGAAATAGTAAGCAGTAGCGGTTGTTTTGAGCTTAGGTAGTAGAACAGCAGGATTTCAAAGCAGCGAAAGGGCTCTGTGTAAAGGTACAAAACCTTTTACATGAGATATTAAACATTTATGTAAAATCCTACCAAAACTTTATTTCTTATGGACAGAACAAGGAAGGTTTAGAGCATTTGTCAGGCTTCAGGCCTTGTGTCGCTGTTGCAGAAATCTCCCATATTTCCTGTGCGGTAAAATCTTTCAATCAAGAAATATAGTGGCAATTAGGCTTGCAGCCTCCCGCAAAGCCTCCATTTCAACTCCACACAGGAGCTCTTGCAGTTTTTATGTTTGCTGTCTTGGTGATAGTCCACGTTGAATTATTTTGACTTCCAGTGCTTAGGTAACATTTTTTTGTCTGGTAATTCTTTATAACATATTGTTTTCTATTAAGACACTGCAAGTGAGGAAAAGAAGAGGCTAGAAGAGAAGCAGAGAGCAGCACGTAAGAATCGTTCCAAGTCTGATGAAGATTGGAATACCAAGTAGGTATTAACATTTCAGCTTGTGTTCTCTGTACATGATGTCAAGGTTGCTACTCAATGGAACAAACATTTCCACTTTTAAAATTGTTGCATTTGTCTCTAGCTCATAACTGAACAAGACCTGATTACATCATTGGTATCCATGTTTGAGTACTGGTATTGATGTGCAGTCACTGTAAGTTACAGATATTAGGGGGCCTCAGAGCTGGATAGCACCTACGCTACAGGCCATAAAGATTTACATGAATAACAGCACAAGGTTTGAATAATTATTGATGAGCATGCAGAAAATATTAGTATCCTCCAATGCTCCAGCAGGCCTATTTATTAAAACAAAAACCAGAGTGCTTAACCCATAGCAACCAGTGGAAATCAGTCTTTCTAATAGTCTGAATTCAGTAAAAAGAGAAGTGATTGGTTACTGTGGGTTAATACATCATGTTTTGTGTTTGCATTGGCTTCATTCTTCATGAGGTTCTGTGGATAACAGTCATATGGGAGAATCAGAACCTGTGTGTCTGTGGCCACTGCTCCTCCTTAGACTGTGCTAGCTGTCTATAGAGGGAACGGTTGTAGACACAGCATGGAGGGAACGGTTGTAGACACAACATGGAGGGAACGGTTGTAGACACAGCATGGAGGGAACGGTTGTAGACACACAACATGGAGGGAACGGGTGTAGGCACACAACATGGTGGGAACGGGTGTAGGCACACAACATGGTGGGAACGGGTGTAGGCACACAACATGGTGGGAACGGGTGTAGGCACACAACATGGTGGGAACGGGTGTAGGCACACAACATGGTAGGAACGGGTGTAGGCAGTGGCGTAACAACCGGGGGGGGCGAAAAAAAATGTCTGCCCCCGGGCGCCCATAACTCTGGTTACACCACTGGGTGCAGGCAGACAACATGGTGGGAACGGGTGTAGGCACACAACATGGAGGGAACGCGTGTGGGCACACAACATGGTGGGAATGGCTGTAGACAAAACACGGCTTACACTAAACCTATACCTTGATATAGGCATATAGAATCCTACACAGCTCTCCTATTAGAAAATACAGATATTGTTGTGTTTGGACTGCAGTTTTTTTTTAAAGCCCAGGGGTCACCTGTGAACAACAGAGGTCACCAGAGACTCATGAGCAACTTTTATACAGTGACTTGTACAAGCCATCATGTTGAGGAGCACCAGAAGCAACGGTATTAATTCCTCAGAGCTCAAAATTGGCTAACTTCCCTTTCTTTTATTGAATTTGATGACTATTGTTTTACTTTATTTTAATTTAGTTAATCACAATCATGTTTTGAAAAAAATCCTGATAAATTGTCATTCCACCCTAAACATGTATTTCAGTTTTTTGGTAACTGAGTTGACTCACTGTGAGATTTTAGTGGCAAAATCCTCCCCTCTGGAGTTCCGGGTTCTGCTTCCCTGCACCTATGAAGTTTCAATTCTCATTCTGCATTCTTAATATTCTAAAATTAGCTTAAAAAAATCAGAGCAGGGAGAATAGGACTCTCCAAAATGGCAGCAGCGGATGGGCAGAGTTGGGAATTGACAGTGGTCTGACACCTGGGATTCCTGAGAGAAAGCCAACGGGTAGTTTAACAGGTAACAGCCAACATCTAGCCAAAACCAAAATATACATTTTGTGTGGAGTGAAACTTTAACAGGATAGAAATTCTGTTCTTTTTCTGCTCTTTGGAAAGTACAGAATGTAGATATTTGTATTCATCTGCATTTCTGGCCATAGTACACATATATCATTTTTTTTACATTTAAACAGGTGGTTCTACCAAGGTCCAAATCCACACAACAACGCACAGGACTGGCTTTATTGTGGAAAGTACTGGGACAGGAACTATTCAAGCCTCCCTGACATATATTAAATATGGCACTCTGACAGGAGGGGTCATTTACAACTGTCACATGTAGACCTGTGTGTTCTGATGTCATGAAAATTGCACCTTCTCAACCCCCTAGCACTTACAGTTCTACTGGCTTAGTTGCCTTCTGCAAAGAATGAAGCATCTTCTCAATTCTAAAAGTGGCCACCAGTAGGAAATTTAGAGGTGGACTGGTGCCGAAAGCCATAAGGCTCACTTGTTAGCATCTGAAGTTTTAGCTGAAGCAGAAATTCTGATAATACCGTTTTCATAAGCGTGAAGAATGTTTCTTGAATATTGAATGTCCGGTTATTCTCCCAGGTGATTCAGGCAGCCATGGGCATGTCTGTGGAATGGGAGATATAAGCACAATGGGTTATAGAGTTTTATGTGAATAAAGGATTTTATTTCCATTACTCAGCAGCACGACCTATGGATATAATTCCTCAGGGGGGGTATATATGCCCAGTGTGGGGGGTTTGCTTTAATCCAGGCCAGAATTCGAATCTGTGTGTATTGTGTATACATCTGAGCCTTGTCCATGTCTTACTCTATAAATACTACTGAATGTTGGGGTTTCCAGCTATTTTATCTTGTCTTTGTCTTGATGTTGTTCATCTGTGTAATAAAGTACTGGATATAAAATGTACTTGAAACATACACCACTGATAGGAAATTTACACATGTACAGAACATTTTACTCCCCATGGTAGATATTACATGACCTTGTGCACTACTAGTGGAATTAAGACATTCTAGACAGACCAAAGACCAAAGAATGGTGCTGTGATCTTCACATTACCTTTTAAATGAGAAGTTACAGTACATTCCTAATGGCCTAATAACTCTGGATTCTTTACATAAACAGCACAAACAAGACAGACTTGGGGATATTGTGTCATATAAAGCATGAATATTCCCAACATGTGTTTGAATATTGTCTGGGTTATAGGCACCGTGGAATTGTATTCACTACTCGAAAATGGATATAAGATTTTCCTACAGTGATAACTGGCTACTCCCTTCATGCACTGGAGTTGTATGTGATCGGATGTATTACATATACCTTAAAGTGTATGTTAAGTCAAAAACATTTTTCTAATTTTGGGGGAATTTGGTATTTTGATGGAAGAGTTGGGGAAGAAAATGCCCCTTCACTTTCTGTCTTGATGACCATGTGTTTCTCAGGCAGGAAGAGAGGGAAATAAATATCTAAAGGAATCCTAGCCTTACCCTACCTAGCTAAAAAATAAAAAAAGTTATTTCTGTCTGTGTTGTAGTTGGAGAGTTCCTCTCACTGCCTGTCTGGTGAAACATGGTCCGCAGGACTAAAAGTGAGGGTAAAGCTCTCTAACGGAGCTCCAAATAGTAAAAAGCAGAGGTTCTAATCCTTTACCACTCTATCCAAAACTCAGAAAATGGTTTTGGCTGGACATTATTTGTTTTTAGACATCTTCACACTGCTACCATCAGTTCGGGAAAATGTACATTTCCTTTCTTCTGTTACAAAGATGTATTCTGAATCCAGAAAATATATGATAAAAATGCTATTTCAATAGGTAACAAACTGTATGTTGTCCTTCCTGTGTCATCTCCATATTTTTCCCAACATGTAGAAGGCACTGGGATATGAAGTGCAGCCCAATACAACTAAGGCCTATACATTTATTTAACAGATACATCTGTAATACAAACTAAACCTTGTAACTTGTACATTTGTATACATATCTTGAAATAAATATGCATATAATTGGTATCCCTCTTTTATGCGAGGTGCCTGTTCTAGAATGCATTGTATAGCAAGTTAGCAAATCCTTGGGGCAAGCAATCCTAGGAGTCTGTTTTGTAAGCCATGAGAATTGTTTAGAGAAATATATTAATGTAATCTTTAAATCATCTGCTGCTTCTTATAAGCATTGAAATAAAGTTTGAAAAAATACTCCTTTTTTTTTATTTTAAACCTATTGTCATATAAATACTGTAGTGTTCACTACCCAGCTGAGCGTGTGTGTGTGTGTGTGTGTGTGTGTGTGTATATACACACACAAAATTATGAAATGCTGTAAAGTAAGAATGTGTTCAGAATTAAAAGTGTTAATAGTTTATTTTTTATCAATTAACACAATGGAAAGTAAATGAGCAGAAGGGAAATCCAAATCAAGGTGTCAGTGAGTACAGTTCCTAAACCCTCGAAAAGAACTTGGGAACTGGAAGAACAGGTCTGGCAGAACCAAACCACAATGGGGCATGAAGAGGAGTGTGCGTCTGTATCTTTTTTTCTAGTTTTATTGAATGGAAATGCATACTTGATTGTTTTATTAGTGTGCTCATTTGTAGGTTATAGGCAGTGTCAGGGCTTATGCTTGTCACCTTGCTTTATATGTGACATATATGTTTTTTAGCTGACACTAAACTCAGGAGTTAAATCCTAAAAATGCATTCAAGTACCTTAGCTATTAAGAGAAATTGTATCCTATTTGTGTATCACTCGGCTGTAGATCCTCAAAACATCTCTTGGGGATGAATTGTTTGAGAACATGATGGTTGAGTGGTTAGTTTGAGGTGGGAATTGGTGCTTACACTGTCCTTCCTCCTGGAGGGTGGCTACTTTTGTTCCCTATGGTCCCTGTGTGTGTTGTAAAGTAGCACCCGCTCCAAGCTCACTCCCGTGATGATGGACTACAATCTCATGTTTAGTTCACTAATTTGTATTGAGATTGTAGTCCATCACAGGAGTGAGCTTGGAGCGTTGTCTACTTTACACACAGGGACCATGAAGGACAAAAGTAGCCACGCTCCAGAAGGAAGGACAGTGTCGGCACCAATTCAGAGATATGAGGATCTACAGCCGAGTGATACACAAATAATGCCCAGTATTGTTAAGGTACTTGAATGGATTTTTAAGATTTAACTCCTGAGTTTTGTGTCACTTTAAGCCCACAATGATGATGTATCACACCCTTAATAATAATAATACACAAGTCACTTTCTCTTTTACTGTCCAGAGCTGTTATGAGAACTGTGAATACAGTTGGATCGTAGAGCTGGAGTATTTTACCCACCACCCTTGCATTGTTAATTGCTCAGTTACCAACCACGTAATGAAGGAGCAGAGTGAAGAATGCAATGTATAAATTAATTGGCAGCTCATATATTACTATCCTGAAGCTATAGAAACGTATTCCTATACTGCTGCAATTCTTTTAGTGTAAATATTGATGCTTTTTCTGTGGGTCAAATTGACAATGCCATTATGCAAGTTCTATGTGTTGTGCCAGCTGCGCCAATCACATTAAAAGTGATATGTGACAATTTCTATCATTGTCCAAAAGAATGCACCAAATTATTAAGCACTTGCCCCAATTGATTTCAAATGTACACCATTTTAATGCATTCAATAATATCACCAGCAGAAAGATTTTGTTGGTTATTAGAGAAACACACAAGATGCATGCATAGAAATGCAGCAAATGTATGTTGATGTATTCCAACTCCCACCATTGTAAGTCTGTGACACTTGTACAGTCTCTCATGCAGACCAAATTGGCAAACAATGCAGCGGCTAGAATCATGAGGCCAGAAGCTCCATCCTTTCAAACTGTGGATTACAGTCGTCTTCCCAATATTGGTAGAATTGCAATGTGTGAGAAGTTGATTTACATGACTTTTTGCAAATGCCAATCCTTTTACTGTTTTTGGTTTTTTTTTTTAAACTAACGAATTTTGTATCTTAAAATATACAGTTGATGTCACAGCCAGCGACTGAACCTTTTACTTACAGCTGATGAAACACTCCCTTGCTGGCCCTGAATGCTGCTGAATCACCATTTTCTACTGTATATTTAACTTTGCATTGGAGGTCAATATAATTCACATCATGATAATGAATTTTGCTTAGTATTCCCTGAACCCAACACTGAACCAGCACTTTGCAGTATGTTATACAAGTGGTAACAAAGTGAATTCACAATGTAAAACATTCCAAAGAAGGGTTAACAGTAGGGATGCACCGATACCAAGTACTGTACTCGGTACGAGTACAGATACTTTTCGAGCTCCAAGACTAGACTAGAGAAAAATTAGGAGGCAGCTGTCATTTGTAAAGAGCACACGGAGCTCCCGGGATTTGTACATCTCTGTTTTAATGTACGATTTTATTTTTATAAATATAAATAAAGGGATGCACAGATACCAGTTTTGCAAGTACGAGTACTTGTACTTGCCGAGTACTTACAGATACAAGTACTGATACAGTTTTGTTTTGTCATGTGACAGTTTTTCTAAAACAATACAGACAAATGATTTCAGGACAGTGGTGGAGCGCCAGAGCCCAGTCCCAGCTGCAACCGCGGTAGTTCTCGAGAATGCCAGGTATCTGCACTGGTACTTGTAAAGTATCGGTGCATCCCTAGTTAACAGTGTATCTTATAACAATGTGTCCAAATACGATGATAGTGTCCTTTGCTCCCTTGAAACCAAAATGCTTGTGATCTTCTGTGTAAGTAAAAACCACACACTGAGTGGGCAGCCACTGAAACAAAAACCATAAACAATGCTTATAAAGCATATTAATGTGCAATAACATTGCTTTTAAATCATTGATTTTCATTTTCTGTAGATGTGTCATTCACCAGCACTTAATAATTATATTAAACATTCTCAAATTTTTAACATGGTTTAATTTGGACAAGTTTTTAGTCTGATATTTGATTAGAAATTCCCAATATATCCAATTTACTCACGCATTTCAAATACAATAAGGCAGACAATATGTTCATGCAGAGATCAGCATGAATTAAAATGCTGCTTTGTGTTTGTAAGATCATAAACAGAAATCCTGTAAATAAAGCAATGTTATTCCACACAGGCCTGTAACAATAGGTACACGTGACTGACACTAATGCTGGGGGTTATTATTGCAGTCACTGACACCAATGCTCTTTGTTGTTATTATTATGGCCACTGCCACCAACACTGGAGATAATTTTGCTCCTTCTTTCTCTTTGGTGTGCGTAAAAACTACAGCAGGACCAGAATTCTTGGGCATTGAGGTGCATTACAGCCCATTCCTTTTGAATTGGGTACCATGCAGACCACAGCTCACTTAGGCATACTTATAATTAATCAAACCTCACAATCTTTATATCAGGTCAAAACAAAATACCACCCAAACTCCATCCTGATTCTGAATCTGCATGTTGGTTGGTCTTTCTTAAGCTCGTTACATCAATGTTCATCTTTAGCCATTTTTTATAGAGTAGCTAATAAAATCCTTGTTGGTTTTTTTGCTGTCTGTGGCCCAGTTCGGGAGATCTTTTTCTTACTTCCTTTTTTAGTGCCAATGTTGTCACCAGGGAAGGAAGTGAGGGGAAATCTGTATATGTTATTAGTAAGGTTCGACCAAGTCATCCAACTGGACACAAATTGAATAGAAAAAAAACGGGTCTTTTTCTTTTATGCTATGCAAAAAAACATGTTTTAAATGGAAATACGTTTTAAACTCCAAAAAAAATGAATTCTTTAGAAATAAAGAAAATGGAATGTCTGCAAAAGTAAGTCAAAGACATTTAGAAATAGAGAATTATATCCGGGACATTCGCTCAATTGACAGGTAGAACTCTGGAGACAAATGCAAAATCTGGCAATAACAGAGGACACAAGGAATTTACAATCTGCAATAAATACAGGACACAAATCAAGATCTGTTTCCTTTTATTCTCTTTTCAGAAATATAAAAGTGAGAGTTCTTTACATTACACAACAATAAATATGCCAGGTTTTCTGTAACACCTAAATTC